ATAATAATAATAATAATAATAATAATAATAATAATAATAATAATAATAATAATAATAATAATAATAATAATAATAATAATAATAATAATAATAATAATAATAATAATAATAATAATAATAATAATAATAATAATAATAATAATAATAATAATAATAATAATAATAATAATAATAAAATAATAATAATAATAATAATAGTAATAATAATAATGATAATAATAATAATGATAATAATAATAATAATAATAATGATAATAATAATAATAATCGTAGCAATAATGATAATGGTAGTGGGATTCGGATAAGGTGATAAGAACCTTGAACATTGTTGCTATTTTCCATGTCAATTGATTCCTGATTTTGATAACTATGAATAAATAATGTTTCATCATCAATTGATGATGCAAAAATATTCTTATTTGTCCAATCTTTCAATCCATGGAATGGCTGTTGTCGTTGTTGTCGTATAGCAGTGGCGGTAATAGTACTAGTAGTACAGGTAGTAATAGTAGGAGTATGAGTAGTAGTAGTGGTACCGTATTCCATTTTTCAATGAAATATTTTTGGTATGCAATAAAATGACTCCTTTAATTTCAAAATGAATGAAGAAAAAAAAGAAAGGAGGAAAGAGGAGGAAAAGGGGAAAAAAAAGATTTTTTTTTTGTTTTTTTACGAATGATTTAAACAACGAAGCTTAAATATGATCAACCCTTTGTTGAAGACCTAGGCTTAGGCTTCATTTTAAGCCTTAAGCATCATTCTAGGCTTCTTTCTTCATCCTTTTCAAGTCCTTTTCCACTCAATCATTTCTCATCTTCGTTATTGTTATTTTTAGGCAATTTTCTCCCATTTATTGGAACAAATTTATTGAATACCAATAAAGAAAATACCAAATCATTGCAAATAATTGTCAACCAAATTGTTGACAATCAACAAATCACAATTGTCAATTTTATGAGAATATTTCATTTTAATTTCCCATATACTTCTTTTCTCTCTCACTTTTTTAAGCCATAAAAAAATTAAAGGTAAAAAAAATTCAGAAAAAGGATATTTTCACTTATTTATTTATTTACTTATCCATTTGTTTATACATTCGTTTGTTTGTTTATTTATTTATTTATTTCTTTCTTTCTTTATTTATTTATTTTAAAATAAAGGGCTAGTATCGATTAAAAGTTGAAGGAATAATTTTGACATCAATAAATCAGTAATACAGTGACAAAGAATTTATCACAGTAATTTGAATTATTTGTTATTTTCAAATAATTCAATTCTTTTTTTCAAAATATAATTGAATTTTCAATACCGATATTTTATTTTAGAGATAAATAAATAAATAAATAAAGCAAAATAAAATATTTCTCTAATTTTGCACATTACTATCATTTGAATTATAAATAAAAACTTTAAAAAATAAATCTTTTTGCTAAATTTTTAATTTTTATTTGTAAATAAAATTGATTGTAATAAAATGTTGCTATCTTTTGGAAAAAAAAGATTACATATAATGTTAAATGATGGAAATTATTCTGTTAATTAATGGAAAGCTAATTAACGGAAAAGTATAAATTAGAGGGGCAAGTTTTAGTTTACAAAAGATTGTAAATTTTATAAGCTAATTAATAGTTGCAAAAACAATCAATTCCATCTTTCATTTGATAATTAAAACATTTCCTTTCTATTTTATCTAAAACTATTTAATTTAGAATTTGGTGATGCAGATTTCAAATTTCCGAATTTGATATTATTGCAATTCCGGATTTGCATGAATCCTTATAAATGTATGGTGCCGTTTCAAAATTTCAATTCCCATTTTCTGTTGTTGAAAAAAAAAAACGGAAAAAACTGAAAAAAGAAATCCATAAAGAAGCGACAGAACGATGGATGAGGAAAATAATCGGAAGTATTGTTTAAAAAAAAAAGGAAAAAAAGAATAAATTGATAAGTTAAACTTTTCCTTACTCATACATACGTTTATCGAATTTGGAAGGGATTTTGGAAGACAATGAATTATCGTTCAAAATTCGATAAAATTACCAGTTTGACAGTATTGATTGATTTTTACGATATGGACAACTGATAAAAAAAAAAAAAAAAACATAAAGTGGTAAGCTCTATGAATATGGTTGTTTACAATATTGATTAAATACGCTCAAGCGTACATAACATGAACCTAAAAACATGTAGACGTTTTAACGTACGTCTTTGTACGTCAAGCTTACTTATTTACCTACACACGATTGAGCACACGTACGTCGCCGTAAAGTTACTTAATGATCACATAAACTTTCTAATAGCTAAAGCTCCTATACGTGTTATAGGGTCCCGAGAGGAGAAATTGAGGTGGTAAAGATGAAAACTTTTTAAAGTACAATCATTACTGGTTGAAAGGTTTATGTAAAAGTAAGAGTGATATTCTTTTGTTAGTTTTTAATAGATTTTAAATTTTTGAAAATTTTTAAAGTTTAAAAATTTTTAAAAGACTATTTTCACGTTGTTATGTTTTATTTTGTTTCATAATTAATTTAAAGAAAAAAAAAGGAAAAATTGTTTAAAAGATTGAAAGAATTTAACAAACTTATAGGAATGAAAAATTTTTGTTAAAATAATCGAAAACATTGTTATTTGATTAATTGGTATTTTTAATTATTTTGAAGATTTTAATTATGTCATCGTATCAATTTCCACCAACTGCTTCATCAGCTGTTCTTCCTGTTTGTTTGTATGAAACAAATGGTCGATTAATTTATGGTACAGAGGAGGAATTGCATAAAATGGAAGAGAATGCATTGGTTTGTTAAATATAAAAATTTTTGAACAAAATCATTTAAATATTTTGTATTTACTCAAATATAATAGGTAACTAAGTATTTGTGTATTTCGATTTATTTTTATTCCCAAATAATTTCTGTTTTACATTATAATTAATTCAATAATTGGGAACTTTTTTCCGTAATGTAATTTAATATCTGAGCAAATTTTGAATTAACTTTTAAAACTCATTAATGTACAAATAGAATAAACTCATTAATATACAATTAGATAGAAAATAAGTGTATGAGTATTTTTTTTCAATGTTCTTTTAATATCATATTTGAAAATAAGTTTGTTTACTTATAAATGCTTGAAAAGTAAATAGATTGATTAAGCAGCGTATGTAAAAGTTAGAAATATTTACGTGCAAAATTTTATGCTTTAATATGAAAAAAAATATTCCATTCATTCGTTTAATTCAAAAAGCTCTATTCGCTGGAAAATTTTTTTGCTATACATTTAAAATGTATCGTTTTTGATAAGTTTGCGAAAATATGATAAATATTTCAGTTACGTGCATTTCCGAAAATTGAAAATGGATTATTGAATCGATTGCAACAATCATTATCGCGTGATAATATTCGCGAAACATTTGTGGACAATCAACAGAGCCGATTTCAACAAGCCATAAGTAATTGGTTAGTGCGAAATATTTTAAGTTGTTTCAACTTTGGCTGACAATTCCTTTAAATTGAACGAAGGTAAAATTATCATTAAGCAAATTTATGCTTGGTATGACAGGAAGTTCAAACTTATGGTAGTTCATTGTGATGCATAAATTATGTTGTTTGCTATTTCACTATCTTCTTACCGTTTCTGATAGATGACAGATTTTTGCACTGACATTAAGGGCAACCAAAGGTATCGATAGTCTGGTTGATTGTGTTCGAAACGCTGTAAGTGGTACCATTCCCTACAGTAATTTGATTTTATCCGCCGGTCAGATCTTCACTAAAGCTCAAACTGATATTACAAATGTTTTTGCTAAATCCGAAGAAAGCTTATATAATTCCATCATGAAGACTTCATCTACATTAAATTGGTAACGTTTTTGACTTATAAAACATTTGCGTAAAATGTTTGCTTTATGGAGCTTATTTAATTCATAATTTAGCATTTAGTCCTAGATTTCCATGGTCTAGTGGTTACAACGTATAAAACTATTTTATGTGTAACATAGTTAATTTGTTTCCCGACGTTTGCTCTGTACCTCAGTTGCAAATGATTGGCAAATTGGCATTGACTTGTACTACTATCGTCGATATCTTTTTAATTCTTCAAATATTGTAACTTTAGCGATACAGTTTTTGTTTTATTCAAATTTTTAGTCAAATTATTCGATCATATGGACAGGAATATTTCAAATATGACTCGCCATTTCAGGTTAACAAATTGGGTTCGTTGTATTGCAGTACATAATGGTGGTCATCGAATTGCAGTATGTCAAAATAATGATTGTATTAGAATATTTTGTTGCGGCTCTGACAGATTACCCGTTACTTTAATGCATCAGTTTCAGCGAAATGTGACTGATATGGCTTGGAAGTAAATGCAGTCGTTTCTTTTTCTCATTAATGAGTTTTAATATGATAATTGTAAATTTTCGGCATCCAGTTTTATGATCATTTTGAATTGTTTTGATACTCAACATAAGATTTTACAAAGATCGTTTTTGTAGCATAATTACACTCATCAGTTAAATTTTATTGGGCTTATAAGTTTGCTCATTTAGGCCTTTTGATCGTACGGTGCTAGCGGTGGCTTGTACCCATGCTGTGTTAATTTGGAGGCTTGACAAGCAAAATTTTAATATTCGGTTGGTTAAAATATATTTTGCTATATTAAATAGTATTTATAAGTTTTCCGACAGAAAATAATTTGCACTTTTCTCATTTCAGACCATCAGTTAATTGTGCAGATGTCATCGAGATGTCATCACTTGCTCCAATCACTCAGTGTTTTTGGGATTCTGTTTTTGATCAAGCTTTATTTATTGTTTCAGCGTCATCATCGAGTTTGCAAGTATTTTTTCTTTCATCTTATCAGGTAATAGTTAGGGTCATTTTGATTAGGCTATTAGTTGCAGAAGTTTCGAAATTAATGAAAATTTTTGGCGAAACTCCAGTTTTGCTGTCTTTTTTTTATTCTTCAGAAATGCAACATTTTACATTATTTTTTGTATATTCTTCAACAATATTTTTAAGCTAATTTGCTAACGCAGATTGTAGGATTAGCGAAGCGATTCCATACCTGTGCATTTCTTTTTACCACTAATATTTTGCATTTCTTTTTTTTCTTTTTTATTTCGTTTCAAATTCAAATATTCCATTTATATGATAATACTATGAAGAAATATCTTACAAAAAACGTTTTGCTATTGCTAGAAGAATAATGAAATAAGTACAGCAGCTTCTGTTATAGTATTGCCATGCAGTAAACATAATAGGTCTCGGTTTAAGCATTGCGATATGTTTAGAACATGAGTTCTGGATTTCTGGATGTTTTTTCAAAGTAAATGCAGCAGGTTTTTTGGTTGAGTATTATTATGAAGTAAATACATCAGGTTCTGGATACAAGTAATGGTGAAAGTGAACTAGTTGGTTCGTGGGCTGGTGGTCGTATTCGTCATGTATGGATTTCCCCCAATGGTGGTAAAATAGCTGTTGCATATGATGGAAATATGATAAGGTACGAGGATTCTGTTGAAATCTTCAATGAATTATTTTATTTAATTTAATCCTTCTTACTGTCAATATCTTTCATTACTATAAATGTGCATATTTTTTTTTTAAAGTATTTACGATCGTCATTCATGGCATGAAGAACGATGGAAAAAATTGAAAGGTCTTTGTATGGCAGCAGTTTGGACTCCCTTAAGTGATGTATTTTTTTTTGCAACACGTAATGAGCCCTTCATTCGTGGCATTCATTTCGTTAAAAAGTTACAAAATATGAAGAATGATCAGTAAGTACTTTTCTCTTCTAAAATTCAAGATTCATAGCTTTGTTAGATTTTCTGGCTTAATTTCTTATAAGTGAATTCCACTTCTTTTAACGTTACCTTTTTGTTTAGTTCCTTACCTATCTAGATTTATGAAACGTTGAATCGCTTACAAAGTGGTAAATCTTCCTTTTTCTAGCAGTATTGATAGTTGACCGTTGATAGTTGATTCTGAGATTTTAGAGAATGAACTTTTTGTCAGCTACTGCTGTATTTCTTTGCTAACTTTCTAGTTAATATCAATCGAAATATATCTTTCAGTTGTTTCTATTACATTGCAGGTTATCATACGGATCCGAAGTTGCTATCCCTGTATATGATCTTTCGGAAATGATATTAGAACATCCGGATAATGGTAGAGATGCTAGTAATAGTAATAATAGTAGTATATGCAAGATCGATGGATATATTCGTGATATGAAGATTTCTCCTGATGGTCAGCGTATCGCTGTTACTTTCAGTGGTAAAGCAATTTCAACTGTTTAGTTTTTGACATAAGTTAATTAATTCCTTTTATCATAAATGATTAACATATTGACATTAACGTTTGAGGATCCGTTGTTGATATGGCTGCTGCTTTGTAATAAGCATTTTAACAGTTGCGGTGACATGGATTTCCTAAAGATCTTTATGCTTCACATGACTACATCGAACTACACTTCTGAATAATTATGCTATATTGCACTGCGAAAGTTTTCATACAGCAGTGTTAATGCAAGGTTATTCCCTGTTTCACTAATGACAGCGAATACATGAACGTATTGTTTTCCTTATGTGACAGAGCAAAAATTTGGTATTGCTAATGATAGTAAGTCGTTGATGTGTTAATGAAATGATTTTGAATTACAGAAAATCCGGCAGTTATTGCTCTATTTGTGGTTGAAACGATGCCATCATTCTTTTTTGCTCCTTGTGGATTGATAAATGGAGCAGCAAATTTTGGCCCAGCAACCATCTTATCATTTTTCCCAAAATTCCAATATGGTTCATTGCTGATTGTTGTAAGTTTGAAATTATCATGAACACTACGAGGACGATAAGTTTGAGATACGTCAAGTAAAAGTCATAATAAAACATTTCTAACTGACAAAAAGGACCGTCTCGCAAATCGCAGAATCCCTTTTTTTTTCTTTATTCTAAAGTAACTAATTCAACGACCCTGGCAGGACTCGAACCTGCAGTCTTCGCTTTAGGAGAGCGACGCCTTATCCATTAGGCCACAGGGCCAGTCATTGATCGTTTTAATAAAATCGATCAGAAATCGAAGTTTTTGTTTCGATTGTAATCATTATTGAGATTATTATATCTTTGAAAGGAAAAAGAAAACTGTGCAAATATAGCACAATCGATTAATTTGGTATATTTTTTAAGAATACTATTCCATTCATCTTTACATTTTGATTAACCTTAATGGATTTTACTGACTTGTTCTTTTGCTAAAAGTTTTATATGATGTTCTGAGTATAAGTAAAAACTGCTTGTATGTCTTGATATCTTAACATATCAGACAAAATTATGCATCATGCATACTTCATTAAGCCTATAATCCATATTATTAATTTTTCCATTGATAACATGATATTTTGTAAACGTACGAATAGTTGGTAAAGGATGATATTGTGGATTATTTTTCATCGTTTTTAAACATTTTTACAGGTTTGGTCTGCTGGGAAGATGCAATACATTCCATTATTGTACGGTTTTCTTGCCAATGAAGGGATTCATTTAAATCGTACCAAGGAAGAGAAGTTATTGAATGAAATATCAACAGAACAGTTACTGGTCCATGAATCACAGCGGTTTGGAAAGGTAAATTCAAGGAGTAACGGTCAAATGCAAAGAACGGGACTGAGTAGTAGTAGTAGTGATAGTGGTAGTCATAGCCGAGAGAATGCTAATAAAAATTCAACGACAACTTCAAATGTGGATGTAAAGCTGTTCTCTTCGGTGGGACTGTACGATTTATTAACTCTGGAAAGTGCTAAAAAGAAATCTGATATTGTCAATTGATTATTTATGTAGAATTTGTCAATTGATCAATTAGACTATTGGGCGAAATATGTACTTTCTGACTTTTTTAATCTGATTTTTTTTCCCAGCTTCTTGTATATAAGAAGTATCCGTATCGTCCGGTTAATTCCGAATCACTTATGAATTACTCATGAACAGTATTAAACTTTCAGGAAAAGTATTAACTTTTCTGAATTTCCTGCGAATTTTTTAAGATTTCTTATATTTCTTATTTTTTATATCTTTATAAAGAAGTGAGGGGAAAATAATTCGGAGAGCTTAGGAAATGATTAGAATTTTTAATAGAAGAATTAGTCTTACTGTGTGTTACCAAATGCAATTTTTCTTTGTGGAATTTTTAAATGATAAAATAACGATATGATTTTAAAGGAAATAACAATGAAATAACAAATACAGTAAGTGTAAATTAATATCTATAAATTATTTTATATGATAGAATAAGGAAAAAGATTAAAATGGCCTTTTTTCCTTCTCTTCTTTGCATTAATTTGTATTAGTACTTTTTTTTGAAAGGAAAATCTGTGAAAATATACTTCGTACCAGTGATGCACCAATATTATTGTCCTGTCATATTGGTCCATTGAGCTATCACCTGTTTCATTTTGTAGCATTAATAGCAGAGAAACTATTAGCAGTGGCAGAGTTGCTTGCCTGTTTTAAACATGTATCATTTTCATAAGTCAATATTATTGCTTAAGCACGAAAGGCAATATTATTGCTGTTCACAATGATCAATAGAAAATCTCGATTTACAACTTTCCTTCATTTACTGATTAAATTGATTAAGGGTTGGCATAAAAGCGTTCTACCATTATGATAATTTGCTGAAATTTTATCATTTTGATTGTACATTTTTCATGTTGATAGAAATAAATTAAATACGAACTGTGAAACACGATTTAATTGATTAATCTGTCATCCATCAATGGGCAGTAGTTCAACTAATATCTGTGAAATACGATTGCAAAATAAGTGCGCAAACAAAGAGAATCGGCCAATATTACAACATTTCTATGGTATAGTAAAAAATTGGAAGAAAAATATGCTTTGGTATTTTTATATAAATATTTGTTTTTCTGTCAAATCTATCAGTTTTATCATATTTTGTAAAAGTTTATAACTTTCATACATTTTGTAGATGTAATGTTCAAACTTAGTGAAATATTTAAATTCTAATTCGAGAGTACCAGCGTAATTACTTGATAGCTTTGGGATTTAAATCAATTTTAAATCAATATCATCCAAAAAACGATACCATCTTCAAAAAAAAAAGAGAAAAAGAAAAAACTTTTTCTTATTATAAAAATTACTATTAATTATATTCCATAAATATTGGGCAAAAATTTTGTTCTTTTAATATTAAAAATACAAATATTATAACTAACATTTCAAATTGATACTTTCTATCAATATCAAATAAAGAAGCTTATATAAATGATAAGTAAGTGATATAAATAAATAAGTGATATCAATATTTTCTTATTTTTTCTTTCCTCTTATTATTGCCTTCTTTTCTTTATCTCTTTTCTAAATCTATCATTTATAACAATTGCTACTTATTTTATTTCAATCTAACATTTATGTTTCTTTTTTCTTTACTAATTTTATCTCTCTAGCAAATTTTACTTCATTTATTTTATTTCTATATATATCTTAATCCATCTTGCAATTTAGTTATTATTAATCAACACTCATCAAATATGAATGATCGATTCTTTTCATCCGTTTCTTTTTTTTTCTTTTTACATAATATTTCAGAATTATAACCTTATGATAATCTTTCCTTCTTTTCTTTTTAATTGTATTTTTTTAACAATAAAATTCATTTTATTTCAACCTTTCTCTCTCTCTCTCCCTCTCTTTCTTTCTCTCTCGTTTTTTCATTTCTTTTTTTACTTAAAAAAAAAAAAAAGTAATACAGTGCTTTGGTAAATGATGCAAATACAATTATCATATATCCGGAAAATTACAAATAAAGTATGGCGGAAAATTATTCCGGATGATTGATTCGTTAGCGGAATAATAAAATGTAAACAGTCAATGAAATATTTCGAAATATAAATGATGCATGAGGTAGAAGAGAATAAAGTTAAGTTGTAAATCGGTAAAATTAGTAAGCTGGTAAAGATCTATATATAATATGTATATGTGTCTGTTTGTCTGTCTGTGTCTGTGTGCATGTGTGTGTGTGTGTGTGTGTGTGTATGTGTGTTACCACGATGGCATAGATATAAGCAATAGATTTTTGCAGAAAAGATTATAAACTTTAAAGTTTTGTTGTCTTTAATGTTAGCTTTTGTTCGCAACTTCTCTCAAAATCTAAAGTACATTTAGTTTAAGTGGTTATAATTTTAAGAATTAAATTGTTTACTAATTGATGTTTACATAAAATGCAATAGAAATGTTTAATATAAAACAGTGTAAAATGTGTCAAAAAAAAATGTTATAAATAAATGAATTTTATCAAATTTTATCAACATCAAATTAATCTTTGATCTTTACTTTTTTTTTTTTAAAAATAGCACGTAAACAGCACGTAGATTTTTTTTGTTAGAATATTCTTATTCTTAGATAGATTACCTTACCTTACTTATATGGATTAAACGAATAATTTCATCCATCCGAATTTAGAGTTAAACTTATTGTCCTTCTACTAGAATAATTGCCTGAAGACTAACGAGCCTATTTTATCCCCTTCTGGAAACATTTTATCTGATCTGTTTAGCATAGGAAATCCTACCGGAAGCATTTAGCTTAACAATCTCATTGGGGTATACAATCTTTTCCAGCGCAATACAACGAATATTGATGTTAAAATGATCGATGACACAACAACAAACAACAACAACAAACAACAACAACAAACAACAACAAACAACAACAACAACAATAACAGACAACAAAAAACAGCAACAACAAAGAACGACAAGCAATAACAAACAACGACAAACAAGAACGACAAACAACAACAACAAACAACAAAAAACAGCAACAAACAACGAGAAACAACAACAAACAACAGCAATGAAAAACACTGGTAAATAATAGGTAAATAAAGGGAAAAATAAAACAGGCTAAGATGACAAGACACATTTAACTAATATTACTACACATGCATCTTTTAAATTTCCCTTCAATCAATCCTATTACATTAACCCATCTATAGGGTCAACGGGAAAAAGCGGGTCATCATTTAGGCAACCGAAAGAATGATAATTTTGCAAAATGGGTACATTATTATCAGTGATGGTTACCAATAGATAGAAATATATTATCTGATTAATACAGCAATACATTATTCATCTTTATATGTTTATGTATTACAATATATTCATATATATTCATATATTTACTTTTAAACATATATTCGTTCATATTTATCGAATTGGAATAAACGAATAATATTTTTCTAATTCTTATCATAATTAGAATTGAAATAATAAAAATAGTAATATTATTATTGTTATTATTATTATTCGAATTCTAATTATCATAATTCTTATCGCAATATTCTTATCGTAATAATTCTTATCATAATTAAATTTACATAAATTCAATGTTAACCATTTTACAAGCTAAGCAATAATATTTGTTAAAGAAATTTAAATTTGTTAAAATTAGTATTTTTTTTATAACATCAATAATTAAATATTCAATTTTATTTTCCACTCCTTAAAAATGATTGAAGGTGGCAATTTTTTTTTTTCTTGTTGAAATATCATTTTCTGAAATATAAAAAATATGAAAAAAAAGTTTTTTCCAATTCTTTTTTTGATTTCGAAAAAATACAACGAAAAGATAAGTCTTAAAAAAATTTGATGAAAAATTTACGATATTTTGAAAATTTTATGAAATATGTATAAGTGGGAGAGAAAAAAAAATTTTTTTTATGAAACAAAAAGGAAAGAAATATTGCATAAATTAATTAAAATTTTTTAATTAAAAATTGAATTACCTAATTTTTCTGGTTCAATTATTTTAAAGTGATTAAAATTTGATTTCCTTTCATTTTTGCTTTTTTTTCCTTCCTTATTCTTCATGCATTTTTTACAAAAATCAAAATGATTATCTGGTAAAATTTTTTGAAGGTTTAATTTTATATTCGATAAAAAAAGAAATGGAACAATAATTATTGGAATTGAATTCGATTATAAGTCAGATTCGATTTCAATTTCATTTCTAAATATAATTTGAAATTTAATATAAAAAAAGGATATTATGTTTATTTATCATGTATTTAAAAATTATTTTGCATTGTTAATAGAAATGATCCAATAATTCTATTCCACTTAATCGGTTCATTAATTAAACCGGTTAATCAGCTTGTTAGTTCGTGAGCTGGATTTGTTAAATAGCTGATGGATTTGATTGGTTGAATGGTTGGTTGGTTGGTTGGTTGGTTGGTTGGTTAGTTGGTTGGTTAATCAGTTGGATGGTTGGTTGGTTGCTTGGTTGGTTGATTTTCGTCGGTTTCATCCGCCCCATCCCTTTCATCCCAATGAACAGAAAGGAGTAAATGGGAAGGATGAAGGAGATGAGTCAGTTGGTTTGCTAAAATTTCCGCTGATTCAGTTGTAACCGTTCTTACTACTACAACTACAACAACATACTATTACTACCTCTACTACTACTACTGCTACCTCTACTACTACTACTACTACTATCACTATTACTGCTACTATCACTGCTACCACTGCTACCACTAATGCTACTATTATTGTTGCTACTGCTAAATTTAATCCTTTTTAATTATGATTTGATAATTATTTGATAACAGCTGTTTGATTATCATTAGTACAAAATAAACTTGGTTTTCTTATCACTTCTTATACTTATAACTGTTATTGCTATATTCTTGTTGCTATTATTGTTATTGTTATACTTACTATTACTACATCTGATTATAGTGGTAACAATAATAATAATAACATTATTATTATTATTATTACTATTATTATTATTATTATTATTATTATTATTATTATTATTATTATTATTATTATTATTATTATTATTATTATTATTATTATTATTATTATTATTATTATTATTATTATTATTATTATTATTATTATTATTATT